AGTCAAGTGAGTGGAGCTCGTAGTCACGCTGAGCAGCTACGTGCAGCAGTACCCGAAGAGTGGTCATCTTCGGGGTAGGGGAGAAGGTCTGGAAGAAGTCAACTCCCTGTCGCTGACTGAAGCCACATGCAACGTAACACGCCTTGAAGACAGGCGGAGAACCCGGCGGCCGCTTCACCCTGAAGATCCACATGCCACTGACGATGTTCGCCCCAGGCGGGGGAACCTCGTCGACGTAGGTGCCTGTGGACTTCCAGGAAGCCATCTCGGCGTCCATGGCTGCCTGCCACTGAGAGGATTAGGGACCCTCTATCACCTCTGCGTAAGAGCGCGGGGTCGGGATGTCTGGTGCATCCGGGTCTCCCTCAGGGGCAATCAGCATGGACACGAGATGAGGTACAGAAGCGGCAAAGCACTCAAACTCCTCCTGTCTGTCCTCAAGAACGTCCGTGCCAAGAGCACACTCACCCCCGACGGAGGGAGGACAGACAGACACAGACGCAGACTCAGCAACAAGACTAGCGGCGTAGTCTAGGCGACAGGCTGCAGCAAATTCAACGAGCTCAGTAACAAGAGCAGACGCAGCAGTGGACTCAAACAAAGGGTCAGTGTTAGCAGTGGCGAGAAAGCGCGTGACCAACGGACTAGCAGCACGAAGGGAGTCAGACTCCGGGTCCGGACCGTCATGAAGAGAGGACGCAGGAGGAGACGGCAGAGGGACACGCTGCGGAGCAGTGGAAGGACGCAGAGTCATAGAGTGAGTACCAGGGATAGGAGGAGGACGCAGACGCGAAACACGACCAGCGCGAACAGAACGGACAAGCGATGCAGAACGAGACTCAGGCGACACAGGACGCGACTCAGGCTCACGACGCTCCGTAAGACCTCTAGTCGGTCCAGAGTAAGGAGAAGGACCAGGCAGTGGAGAGGCCGGCTGTAACTGCGACTGGGACTGGACAGGCAGTGGACTCAGGGAAGGAGGAGGAGGCGGACCAGGAGAAGGCGGGGAGCCAAGAACCTGCTGAAGGAGCGGAACGTAGTACGGCCTCGGCCGTGCAGCGCCTCCAGAAACAGCAGAGACAGGACCGGTACCCACAGCCCCAGGGTCTCCAGTCCTAGCAGCACCTCCAGTAGCTCCAGCAGCTCCAGCACCAGCAGCACCTCCAGCAGCTCCAGCAGCTCCAGCACCAGCAGCACCTCCAGTACCAGCAGCACCGCCAGCAGCTCCAGCAGCTCCAGCACCAGCAGCACCTCCAGCAGCTCCAGCAGCTCCAGCACCAGCAGCACCTCCAGTACCAGCAGCACCGCCAGCAGCTCTAGCAGTACCTCCAGCAGCTCCAGCAGCTCCAGCACCAGCAGTACCTCCAGCAGCTCCAGCACCAGCAGCACCTCCAGCAGCTCCAGCACCAGCAGCACCTCCAGCACCAGCAGCACCACCAGAAGCTCCAGCAGCACCTCCGGCACCAGCAGCACCTCCAGCAGCTCCAGCAGCAGCAGCACTAGCACCAGCACCCGCAGCACCTCCAGCAGCTCCAGCAGCACCTCCAGCAGCCCCAGCAGTACCAGCACCAGCAGCACCTCGACAGCGCCGAGAGTACCACTCACGAAGCTGCTGTGGAGAGAGAGGCTCCCGCCGCGACGGGACACCTAGAGCACCTCCAGACACAGTACCCTCAGGCTCCACACGCCCAGGCTCAGCACCCCCCGACTCAGCACCCCCAGACTCAGCACCCCCCGGCTCCACACGCTCAGGCTCAGCACCCCCAGTCGCACCTGAGTCGACAGCTACCTCGACCGGCTCGGCAGGGTCTACCTGGGACACACCTGAGGAGGCAGGACCCTGGGGGGGGAGGGGGTCTACCGGGGGAGTACCTGGTGCGAGGAAGAGCGGCGGGGGGGGGGGGAGAGGCAGTGCGGTAGGGAAAGAGACGGTAGTACGACACCGACTCGTCAAACGTGACGTCCTGAGAGGACAAAACACGACGCGAGGTGGGGTGGTAGAACTGCCACCCGGGTGCGTCAGGAGGGAAGCCAAGGAAGACACAGGGAACGGCACGAGAGGACAGCTTGTCCGCTGTAGTATCGCGGACAAAAGCTCGAGATCCCCAGACACGGAACGCGGACGCATCGCCAACCTTCCCCGTCCACCGCAGAGTAGGTGTGGTCTCCGGCAAGGAGACACGAGGTTGAAGGTTGATCTGATGCGCAGCGTACTGAACCGCGAACGGCCACAGAAAATGGGGAGCAGCCGCATGGATCATGGACGTACGAGCGACGTCCATGACCATGCCAATGCGGCGCTCAGCAATTCCATTTTGCTGCGGGGAGGCCGGAAGCGTGAACGTCTGGCGGATGCCCTCCGAACGACAGAAGGCTCTCAGGAGGTCGGAGGAAAACTCCCCACCTCTGTCTGAGTGCAGACGCAGAACAGGAAGGTCCGAGCCGAAACTCTCACAGAGCTGGCGACGAGCACCGCGGATCCAGTCGATCAACACCTCAAGGACCTCACCCTTGCTGCGCAAGGGGAAGACCGTGGTGTAACACGAGTAGTCGTCAACGACCAACAGGAAGTAACGCTCGTGACCCTGTCCACGGACGCGGGCTGGGCCCCACACATCCATGTGAAGAGTCTGCAGAGGAGCCTCAGTCGGAGGGAACGAGGAGGAGTGAGGAGCGGCGCGCTGCCGGCCCTCGACACAAGGAACACAGGTGGGGGCAGGCCCCGGAGGAAGGGGAGGGAGGGACCTGGGGAGACCAGAGACAAGGGCACGGGAGGCCATACCTCGAAGACGAGGCAGGGAGGGGTGACCAAGGCGGTGGTGCCAAAGGAGAGTCTCGTGCGACAGAGGACGACACGAGCAGGGGGCAGACGCGGACTAGACCTGGACGCGGCAGCTAACACCTGACTGGACGCAGCTACCTGACCAGACGCAGGGACCGGAGGAGGCGCAGTAGTCAGTGTGTACAGACTCGAACCTGGCCGACGGGTGATCGTGGCCAGGTGGCGGCCCGTCCGAGAGAAAGTGCAGTGGGTCACACGCTGACCTCCAGGGGTGAACTGGTCGACCCACGCGTCCTGGAGGTCAGCTCCACTCACCAAGTTCGTAGAGAACGAGGGGAGGTGGAGTCCCGACAGCAAGCCCGACGGGGCCGCAGGACACGGTAGAACCGTGGAAGAGTGCGCAAGGACTGGGCCCCCTGAGGGGTCAGCAAGGGAGACCGCAACAGGCCGACTGAGCGGCGTGAGCGTGGTGCTATCTCTAAAGAAAGAGCGTGAAGCACCAGAGTCAAGTGTGAAAGTGTGCAAGGACTCAGTAGGTGCAGTACCAGAGAGAGTAGACGCACCAGCACCTGGAGTAGCACACGCACCAGCACCTGGAGCAGCAGACGCACTAGCACCTAGAGCAGCAGCCGCACTAGCACCTAGAGCAGCAGCCGCAATGCCCGGGTCGGGCGGGACACTCAGGTAACAGTCACCCTCAGCACTATCAGCAAAAGCATACATGGCAGCAAGGATAGCATCAAAATCTAGATCAAAGATAGGCACATTCTGCAGAAGCAGATCATGCCAGCGAGGGAGCTCAACGGCGTCAGGAAACTAGGTACGCCAAGCGTCAGTCAAGCGACCGAAGCAGCGTTGCGTGGTGTGTGGGAGCCCACACACCTCCCCACTATGAGTGCTGGTGCGAAGAACGTAAGTGCAGGGACCTGCACTCCCAGACCTCCCATGCCCAGCGTACCACTCACGAAGCTGCTGAACCGACGGGGTCTCATGGGTGCGCAGCTGCTGCTGGCGCTGGCTGCCACCAAAGCCTCCACCCTGCGCTGCTGCACCTCGCCCAGCACCACCGCCGCCGCCACCTCCACCATCGCTGCCGCTGCCTCCACCACCTCCGCCACCGCCGCCACGACCTCCACCGCCGCCACTGACGCCCCCACTCCCAGTACCACCCCCACCTACACCGCTACCTCCTCCACCGCCTCCACCCCCTCCACCGCTACCCCCTCCACCACCCTTGCTCCCCTTGCCCTTGCTGTTGCGGCGTCTCCCACTAGGGGCAGACGCAGCTCCGACCTCCTCAGTTCCAACGAGGTCGACAGCAGCAGCAGAAGCAACAGAGGAGAGAAGGGGAACAGGGGAACACCCCTCAAAGAAGGGGTGCGACGGTCGCCGCGAGAAGCACCTACAGCTAAGATACTCTTCTAAGCTGCAGCCAGGCGCTCCTCTAGCAGGTCTACAGTCAGCTCGGTGGGGCAAAGGGAGAGAAACTGGTCCCTGACTGAAGAGAGGGAGTCAGGGAGGCGGGTGACTAGGTAGTAAAGGGTGATGTACATGGGGGGGGGGGTTCTTGGTGTGAGAACAATGAGAGGAATGAGTGAAACTAGAAAGAAGATGGGTACAAGTAGAAAGCACAAAAGTGTTGTACCCTCTAAGAACTACCCCACTACAGCCTAAACAGACTATAGCATATATAAGTTTGACACACCCCCAGAGGCAAAGTGGGGGAGAACAAGAGGTCACAAGACCAGTCAAGAAAGGCAAAGCAAGCTCAGGGTGGATCACAAAGTCACCACGCAGTCTGAGCACAAGCAAAGGGCCACAAGGCCAGTTCACATGCAGAGTTATATAAAGGAAGGCAAACAATACAGTGAACACAACCTAGCAAGTGTAAGCATGCAGGTATAAGTATTTAGTGAACAGTACAAGCAGAGTCAAGAAGTCAGCAAGTGAGGCACAGTAGGTACAAGGCCTAGAACAGTGCAGAAACGCTGATGATCACAAGGCTGAAGTGCCTTGGTGAAAACATCAGCAGTGTTGGCCTGAGAGGCCACGTAAGCAAGACGAGGCTGGCCACGCTGCTGCAACTCTCGAGCAAGGAAGTAGCGCAGAGTAATGTGCTTCGTTCTGTGCTCCAGTCTGTGCTCTTGACACAAGGCCAGCATGGCCTTGTTGTCGACGTACAGAACTGGAGGAGAACGAGGCGCCTCTCCCAAGTCGGTCAGCAGGTAGGTGAGCCAGCGCAGCTCCTGTGCAGCCATGGCTCCAGCGTAGATCTCAGCTTCACAACAGAAGAAGAGCGGGTAGACCGCCAAGAGACAGAACCGGAGCCAAGGCTGAAGGTGTAACCCTGTGACGACCGCTGCGTAGCCAAGTCGTCAACCCAGGAGGCGTCAGCGTGACCAGTGAGGACAACTCGAGCCCGTCCTCCAAGCACGAGCCCCATGCCCGATGTACTGCACAAGTATCGCAACACCCTCTTCGCAGTATCCCAGTGCACCTTTCGGTGCCTGCCGGGAGCCACGTAGCGAGCCAGAAGGCTGAGAGGGTATGCGAGGTCAGGTCGTGTGCAAGTCATCAGGTACATGAGGCAGCCCACAAGCTCTGGATATGGGCCACTCGGCTCTACGGACTCGTCCGAAGGTGGAGCTGAGAGCGAGTGACCGGTAGGCAGAGGAGTGGACTGTGGCGAGGAGTACGTGAAGCCGAAGCGCTGAAGGACCTGCTGCACCATGTGTGACTGAGTCAAGGTAATGGTGCGCTGTGCTCTGTCCCGGGTGATCCGCAAGCCAAGATAGCTTGTCAGCTCACCCCGGTCTGTGCACGTGTGTCTCTTCTGCAGCTCGGACTTCACGAGGGCGAGTGCCTCAGTGTCAGCAGTAGCAAAGACGAGGTCGTCTACGTACACGAGAACGTAGAACGGCGGCAGAGTAGTGTCAGTGCGTAAGAACGGAGAAGGGTCAGAAGTGGAAGGAGCAAAACCAAGAGCAGCAAGAGTCATCCTGAGTGTGTCGTGCCACTCACGAGGTGCCTGACGGAGACCGTAGACTGGCCGCCGGAGGCTCCACTGGGTACCAGCTGGAAACGACCCAGTGAAGCCAGGTGGGCGGCGCAGCCAGATCTCCTCGTGCAGGCTGCCCTGTAGGAAGGCTGTGCTGAAGTCAAGCGAGTGGAGCTCGTAGTCACGCTGAGCGGCGACGTGCAGCAGCACCCGAAGAGTGGTCATCTTTGGGGTAGGGGAGAAGGTATGGAAGAAGTCAACTTCCTGTCGCTGACTGAAGCCACATGCAACGTAACGCGCCTTGAAGACAGGCGGAGAACCCGGCGGCCGCTTCACCCTGAAGATCCACATGCCACTGACGATGTTCGCCCCAGGCGGGGGAACCTCGTCGACGTAGGTGCCTGTGGACTTCCAGGAAGCCATCTCGGCGTCCATGGCTGTCTGCCACTTAGAGGAGTAGGGACCCTCTATCGCCTCTGCGTAAGAGCGCGGGGTCGGGATGTCTCGTGCATCCGGGTCTTCCTCAGTGGCAAGCAGCATGGACACGAGATGAGGTACAGCAGCGGCAAAGCACTCAAACTCCTCCTGTCTGTCCTCAAGAACGTCCGTGCCAAGAGCACACTCACCCCCGACGGACGGAGGACAGACAGACACAGACTCAGCAACAAGACTAGCGGCATAGTCAAGGCGACAGGCTGCAGCAAAGTCAACAAGCTCAGTAACATGAGCAGACGCAGCAGTGGACTCAAACAAAGGGTCAGTGACAGCAGTAGCCAGGAAACGCGTGACAGCTGGACTAGCAACACGAAGGGAGTCAGACTCAGGGTCCGGACCGTCAGGAGGAGAGGACACAGGAGGAGACGGCAGAGGGACACGCTGTGGAGCAGTAGAAGGACGCAGGGTCATAGAGTGAGTGCCTGGGACAGGAGGAAGACGCGGACGCAAAACACGACCAGCGCGAACAGTACGGACAGGCGACGCAGAACGAGACGCAGGCGACACAGGACGAGACTCAGGCTCACGACGCTCCGTAAGACCTCTAGTCGGTCCAGTGTAAGGAGAAGGACCAGGCAGCAGAGAGGCCGGCTGGAACTGCGACGGGGACTGGACAGGCGGTGGACTCACGAAAGGAGGAGGAGGACCAGGAGAAGGCGGGGAGCCAAGAACCTGCTGAAGAAGCGGAACGTAGTACGGCCGCGGCCGCGTAGCTCCTCCAGAAACAGCAGAGACAGAACCGGTACCCTCAGCCCCAGGCTCTCCAGTCCCAGCAGCACCTCCAGTAGCTCCAGCATCTCAAGCAGCTCCAGCACCAACACCGCCTCCAGCAGCTCCAGCACCTCCAGTAGCTCCAGCAGCACCTCCAGCACCAGTAGCACCTCCAGCAGCGCCAGCACCTCCAGTAGCTCCAGCAGCACCAGCAGCTCCAGCACCTCCAGCACCAGCAGCACCTCTAGCAGCTCCAGCACCAGCAGCACCTCTAGCAGCTCCAGCACCAGCAGCACCTCCAGCACCAGCAGCACCTCCAGCAGCACCTCCAAAAGCACCAGAAGCACCTCCAGTAGCTCTTGCAGCACCCTGACAGCGCCGAGAGTACCACTCACGAAGCTGCTGTGGAGAGAGAGGCTCCCGCCGCGGCGGGACACCTAGAGCACCTCCAGACTCAGCACGCGCAGGCTCAGCACCTCCAAACACAGTACCCTCAGGCCCCGCACCCCCAGGCTCAGCACGCCCAGACTCAGCACCCCCAGACTCAGCACCCCCAGTCTCAGCACCCCCAGTCCCCTCACCCGCAGGCTCAGCACCCCTAGCAGCACCTGAGTCGACAGCTACCTCGACCGGCTCGGCAGGGTCTACCTGGGACACACCTGAGGGGGCAGGACCCTGGGGGGGGAGGGGGTCTACCGGGGGAGTACCTGGTACCAGGAAGAGTGGCGGGGGGGGGGGGAGAGGCAGTGCGGTAGGGAAAGAGACGGTAGTACGACACCGACTCGTCAAACGTGACGTCCTGAGAGGACAGAACACGACGCGAGGTGGGGTGGTAGAACTGCCACCCGGGTGCGTCAGGAGGGACGCCAAGGAAGACACAGGGAACGGCACGGGAGGACAGCTTGTCCGCTGTAGTATCGCGGACAAAAGCTCGAGATCCCCAGACACGGAACGCGGACGCATCGCCAACCTTCCCCGTCCACCGCAGAGTAGGTGTGGTCTCCGGCAAGGAGACACGAGGCTGAAGGTTGATCTGATGCGCAGCGTACTGAACCGCGAACGGCCACAGAAAATGGGGAGCAGCCGCATGGATCATGGACGTACGAGCGACGTCCATGACCATGCCAATGCGGCGCTCAGCAATTCCATTTTGCTGCGGGGAGGCCGGAAGCGTGAACGTCTGGCGGATGCCCTCCGAACGACAGAAGGCCCTCAGGAGGTCGGAGGAAAACTCCCCACCTCTGTCCGAGTGCAGACGCAGAACAGGAAGGTCTGAACCGAAACTCTCACTGAGCTGGCGACGAGCACCGCGGATCCAGTCGATCAACACCTCAGGGACCTCACCCTTGCTGCGCAAGGGGAAGACTGTGGTGTAACGCGAGTAGTCGTCAACGACCAGCAGGAAGTAACGCTCATGACCCTGTCCACGGACGCGGGCTGGGCCCCACACGTCCATGTGAAGAGTCTGCAGAGGAGCCTCAGTCGGAGGGAACGAGGAGGAGTGAGGAGTGGCGCGCTGCCGACCCTCGACACAAGGAACACAGGTGGGGGCAGGCCCCGGAGGAAGAGGAGGGAGGGACCTGGGGAGACCAGAGACAAGGGCACGGGAGGCCATACCTCGAAGACAAGGCAGGGAGGGGTGACCAAGACGGTAGTGCCAAACGAGAGTCTCGTGCAACAGAGAACGACACGAGCAAGGGGCAGACACAGGACTAGACCTGGACGCGGCAGCAAACACCTGACTAGACGCAGCTACCTGACCAGACGCAGAGACCGGAGGAGGCGCAGTAGTCAGTGTGTACAGACTCGACCCTGGCCGACGGGTGAACGTGGCCAGGTGGCGGCCTGTCCGAGAGCAAGTGCAGTGAGTCACACGCTGACCTCCAGGGGTGAACTGGTCAACCCACGCGTCCTGGAGGTCAGCTCCACTCACCAAGTTCGTAGAGAACGAGGGGAGGTGGAGTCCCGATAGCAAGCCCGACGGGGCCGCAGGACACGGTAAAACTGTAGAGGAGTGTGCAAGGACTGGGCCCCCTGAGGGGTCAGCAAGGGAGACCGCAACAGGCCGACTGAGCGGCGTGAGCGTGGTGCTGTCTCTAAAGAAAGAGCGCGAAGCACCAGAGTCAAGTGTGAAAGTGTATAAGACCGCAGCAGGTGCAGCACCAGAGAGAGCAGACTCACCAGCACCTGGAGCAGTAGACTCACCAGCGCCTAGAGCAGCAGCCTCACCAGCACCTGGAGCAGGAGACGTATAAGCACCTAGAGCAGCAGCCTCACCAGCACCTAGAGCAGCAGACTGGATACCGAGGTCAGGCGGCAGACACACGTGACAGGCACCCTCAGCACTAGTAGACAATGCATACATGGTAGTGAGGATAGCATCATAGTCAAGAGCAAATATATTTACCCTCTGCCTAAGCAGCTCCACCCAATCGGGGAGCTCAGCGTCGTCGCCAAACTCTGTACGCGAAGCGTCGCTCAGACGGGCAAAGCAGCGGGCCCCTGTGTGACCAACCGTCCCGCAAGGCTGACCAGTCCGGACACCCGTGCGAATGACGTACGGGCAGTGAGCAGTACTCAGTGACCCTCTACTCTGAGCATACCACTCACGAAGCTGCTGGGGCGAAAGAGCCTCGCGCGGACGACGCTGCAGCTGCACCTGGCCACTACCAGAAGCTCCCGAACTACCCACTCCAGGGCGACTCCCACTACGGCCACCCCGACAACCCCAACTAGCGTACCACTCACGAAGCTGCTGGGACGTGAGGGACTCACGAGGACAGCCCTGGAGCTGCATCTGGCCACGCCAGGAGCAGCAGCAGCAGTAGTAGCAGTAGTAGCAGCAGGAGCAGCAGTAGCAGTAGTAGCAGCAGTAACAGCAGTAGCAGCAGTATTAGTGGTAGCAGCGAGGGCAGGGCAGTGCTCACCGTGGTGGGAAGGGCAGGCGCACGAAGGCAGCGACGGCGGGGTCGCTACAGCGGCAGGGCAGGGCTGCGACCGCGGCAGGGATCTCCGCGGCAGCTGCTGCAAGGCGGGGCAGGGCCGCGACTGCAGCTGGAGCAGGGCGGGGCAGGGCCGCGACGGCAGCTGCTGCAGGGCGGGGCAGTCCGGGACGACAGCTGCTGCAGGGCGGGGCAGTACGCGACGGCAGCTGCTGCAGGGCGGGACAGGGTCGTGACGGCAGCTGCTGCAGGGCGGGGCAGTCCGCGACGGCGGCTGCTGTAGGGCAGGGTAGGGCCGCGACGGCAGCTGCTGCAGGGCGGGGCAGGGGCGGCCGTCCAAAGGGCGGGCGCAGGGTAGGGCAGGGCGCCGCGGCGGGCAGGGTCGACGCCGCGCGGGTCCCGCAGGGGCGTCGCGACGTGCGGGGGCAACGCCCGGGTCCCGTTGGGGCGGCGCGACGCACAGGAGCTGCGCCTCGCGGGTCCCGCGGAGGCGTCACGACGAGGCAGGGGCGACGCGCGAGTCCCGCAGGGGCGTCGCGTCGAGGCACGGGTGACGCCCGGGTCCCGCAGAGGCGTCGCGACGAGTAGGGCGACGCGTCGCGGGGTCCAGGGGCCGCGCCGCGGGGTCCAGGGGCGTCTGCGCGGGTGCAGGGCAGACCCGCGCGCGGCCTGCAGGGCAGGGCGGCAGGGTGGCGCTCGAGGGCGCGGGTAGGCCGGCGCTCAAGGGCGCGGGTAGGGAGGCGCGCGAGGGCGCGGGTAGGCAGGCGCTCGAGGGCGCGGGTAGTCAGGCTCAAGGCACGTGACAGGGCAGGCAGGCACGACCATGCGATTCGGGCAGGGCAGAAAAAAAAAGTTAGTGGTGGGCCCTAAAAAAAAAAACTGTTCCACTAGGGAACCTGCTCTATACCATGTGAGAACAATGAGAGGAATGAGTGAAACTAGAAAGGAGATGGGTACAAGTAGAAAGCACAAAAGTGGTGTACCCTCTAAGAAGTACCCCACTACAGCCTAAACAGACTATAGCATGTATAAGTTTGACACTTGACACAGAACTCAGTGGGAAGGGCAGCGCGGTAGCGGGCGTCACTAGTGCGAAGGTGAGCAACTAGGTCAGCGACTGTGGCAAAGGCGGCAAGGTCAGGGAAAAGGTAAGGCAGCATGAGGCGGCTGAGGGCAGCAGTGGCAGGGGAGGAGTAGCGTGCAACTACAGCGTCGTACAAAGACTGAGCAGTCTTGTACTGGCCAAAATGCGCGCGCTCAACAGGCGGCAGGTGACTACGAACAGCAAGACGAGCAACAGCGTCACGAGTGGTCCACTGCGAGCGAACAATACTGTCAGCAGTGGCAGCAGGAGCAGTGGAAACACCGGACGTGTGGTCGAAAAGGGATACCCCATCCCTAGAATCACACTGAAGAAAGAGCTGTAGGTCGTCAACCCACACGTCAAAATCAACTGCACGTCCCTCAGCATCAAAGGTGAGAACGGTAGGACTAGCCATAGCAGCAGTAGCAGCAGTAGCAGCAGTAGCAGCAGGGCAGTGCAAGGCAGTGCGGCTCGGTGGGGGCGGCGCGGCTCGGCCGAGCGGCGCGGCTCGGCTGGGCGGCGCGGCTCGGCTGGGCGGCGCGGCTCGGCTGGGCGGCGCGGCTCGGCTGGGCAGCGCGGCCCGGCTTACCAGAGACGGGTGAAGGGGCGGGCCAGGACTGTAGGGGCCGCGCCAGTAGGGGCCAGGCAGAGGCGCGTCAGCAGGGGCCGGTAGGGGCGCGCCAGCAGGGGCGCGTCAGCAGGGGCCGGCAGAGGCGTGCCAGCAGGGGCCGCGCCAGCAGGGGCCGGCAGGGGCTCGTCAGCAGGGGCCGGCAGGGGCGCGCCGGCAGGGGCGCGCCAGCAGGGGGCGTCAGCAGGGGGTCGTCAGCAGGGTCCGGCAGGGGCGCGCCTGTAGGGGCGCGTCAGCGGGGGCGCGCCAGCAGGGGCCGAAAGGGGGGCCGCGAAGAGCCGCCGAAGAGGGCCGCGAAGGGCCGTGAGGGGGCCGCGAAGGGCCGCGAAGGGCCGTGAAGGGGCCTCGAAGGGCCGCGCAAGGGGTCGCGAAGGGCAGCGAGGGGCCGCAACGGGCCGCTAAAGGGGGCCGCGAAGGGCCGCGAAGGGGGGGGGGGGACGCGAAGGGCCGTTAAGGGGCCGCGAGGGGCCGCGAGGGGCCGCGAAGGGCCGCGAAAGGGGCCGCGAAGGGCCGCGAAGGGGGGCCGCAAAGGGCCGCTAAGGGGCCTCGAAGGCCGCGAGGGGCCGCGTAGGGCCGCGAAGGGCAGGCGCACGGGGCGCTGCTAGGGCAAACGCGAAACGCGCTTCGGGCAGGTAAGGAAAAAAAAAATTTGTAGTGGTGGGCCCAAAAAAATTCCACTAGGGAACTTGCTCTATACCATGTGAGAATAATGAGAGGAATGAATGGAACTAGAAAGCAGATGGGTACAAGTAGGAAACACAAAAGTGTTGGACCCTCTAAGAACTACCCCACTACAGCCTAAACAGACTATAGCATATATAAGTTTGACACATCGCCCCATCAAAGAATTGGCACAGCTGAGGTGGCTGCGCACCAGTCATTCTGGTTCCTAACCTACAGTATTCAATATGGTTCCTATCTCAGCCCAAGCTCCTGGAATGTGGTTAAGGAGCTGAAACTATCTGATATGGGTGTTGAAACTCGAACACAGCAAATCAGATCAAAACTCTCAAAACATGAAATAGCTCGTCGGAGGGATTGAAGGAATCTCATGGCCTCATCATCCTGGGCCATCTCCTGGCTCATGTCTGCATGGCGTCTCATCACTTGCATTACCGGCTCATTCCTCCGCCTCTCCCCGTCCCCTTCCCAGCGGAAGGATCGGCCAACAATGCAGTAGATTGAGAAAGCTTGCTTTCTGATTATTGCAAGGCAACGTGCTTCATTTTAATTGGGTAATTACAACATTCTCGTCCAACTCACACATTACATAAACATCAACTAGGGGTGGGCGGGGGGGAAGCGGAACTGAAAAGTTCCGAAATGAAGACGTGGGTGGAGGCCAAATGGCCTCCAACCCTCGTTATGTACTCGGGAAGAGGCATTCGCAGTTGCCTTGCTTCACTACAATCAGCTGCGCTTTCACAATCTTTATTTTTAGAAAGTGTTTTACACTTTCTAAAAATTTCATATTGAGAAAGCTTGCTTTCTGATTATTGCAAGGCAACGTGCTTCATTTTAATTGGGTCTTCTGAGACATGTTCGTGCGTAGGCTAAGTGTGGATCACGAAGCCGGTTGATGGCGATGTCCAGTGATATCAGTTGTTGGTGCAGGTCGTTGCATTCCCTGTCGACGTGGTTATGCGAGTTGCTCCCTCCTTTGGTAGATGTATGTGTCAAACATATATGCTTAGTTATATCTAGGCTTAGTTTATGTGTTTATAGTTGTCTAGGCTATAGTGGGTTTAGCCTTAGGGGGTACAAATTTCTCTCGACATTCTACTTGTACTCCTTCCCTTTTCCTAGTCCATCATTCTCGCCTACTATTCTCACATGGTATCAGAGCAATTAGTCCTAGGACCTAAAGTTAATGGGCCCACCACCTACTGCCCCTTGGCGTCGCCCCTAGCCCCTAGGCTCGGCCCCTTGGCCCCGTCGCCTCGGCCCCGCTGGCCCCGTCGACTTCGTCGCCTGCGCCCGGCCCGTACCTAGCCCGTCGCCCGGCCCGTACCTAGCCCGTCGCCTGGCCCGTACCTAGCCCGCGCCCGGCCCCGTCTCCTGCCCGCGCCCGGCCCGTACCTAGCCCGACGCCCGGCCCGTACCTAGCCCGTCGGCCGGCCCGTACCTCGCCAGCGCCTGGCCCCGTACCTAGCCCGTCGCCCGGCCCGTACCTAGCCCGCGCCCGGCCCCGTCTCCTGCCCGCGCCCGGCCCGTACCTAGCCCGACGCCCGGCCCGTACCTAGCCCGTCGCCCGGCCCGTACCTGGCCCGTCGCCCGGCCCGTACCTAGCCCGTCGCCTCGGCCCCGCTGGCCCCGTCGACTTCGTCGCCCGCGCCCGGCCCGTACCTAGCCCGTCGCCCGGCTCGTACCTAGCCCGTCGCCCGGCCCGTACCTAGCCCGCGCCCGGCCCCGTCTCCTGCCTGCGCCCGGCCCGTACCTAGCCCGTCGCCCGGCCCGTACCTAGCCCGTCGCCTCGGCCCCGCTGGCCCCGCCGACTTCGTCGCCCGCGCCCGGCCCGTACCTAGCCCGTCGCCCGGCCCGTACCTAGCCCGTCGCCCGGCCCGTACCTAGCCCGCGCCTGGCCCCGTCCTTCGCCCAGCGCCCGGCCTCGTCTCTTGCCTGCGCCCGGCCCCGTACCTAGCCCAGCGCCCGGCCCCGTACTTGCCCAGCGCCCGGCCCCGTACCTGCCCAGCGCTCGGCCCCGTACCTAC